CAGAAGCTGTGTTGGTTGGGACATGTTTTACGCATGCCGAAGAGAGTATTGTTTTCCATGCCCAATTCGGAGTGGCGTAAACAGAGAGGTGGCCAACCCATGACCTGGCAGAGGAGTATGAAGGAGATGACGAAACGCTTGGGTGCTGTCGGTGCTACTCGCCTTCCAGGATGGAGACCGCGTGATCCTTACTGTGCCTGGTTGGAGACACTACAAGATATGGCTGCCAACCGATGTCAGTGGCGTTCTTGTTGTCAGTTTCTATCCAGATTGCCTGAGTGAATGTCTGTAGGTGTAGTCACCTCGGAATGATTGTGTTAAGCTAGCACTAAGTCCCTTCCCCGTCCACCTTTATTCTGCATCGGTGCTGAACGCTGATGTCATGCTGTCGATGATGATGATGATGATGGACATATTTTCCGCCGCTTGTCCACCTACTCCAGAAGACCATTTAAGGTCCGCAACTTCCACGGTGATGATGATGATGATGGACATATTTTCCGCCGCTTGTCCACCTACTCCAGAAGACCATTTAAGGTCCGCATTGAACTTCCACGGTGTATATTCGAGGCTACAACAGTCTACCAGTTCAAAGATGTACTAGATCAACATCTCATTAGAGTCCCTGGGACGGTGCTGGGAAAGGAGCATCGTCTTTTGTTAAGAGACGTTGATTATCACCATCATAGTAATAATACTCGCCCAGCTGTAGCACCATTTCGGTGCGTAGCTGCTATGCTACCCGAAGTAGACACGATCAATCAGGTGCTACCAGATTTCCCAAGCCTAGATAGGAGCATTTGGTATGCCGGTATCGGGTTCGAAACGCTAATCTTCTGGTTAGTAAGTTTACGCCAGCCACTTAGTTATCTTGATCTCTGGTTTCAACTTAGAACTGTTCCTTAATACTTCGAGGAACAGGTTGCACACATTTTAGAACCTCCGAAGTGGTAGACCTACCTGACCAGTACTATTCCAGGAATCTAAAATGGATGTTCAAAACATTCAGCTTCCCACGGATGTTCGCCGGTGAAACTTTTTAGCGCTTCAACCGCTTCATGGTGGTCCGTCGCGTAGCATCACTGACAGCTTCATGTTTTGAATAAGGCACTGCGTTGCTTTCAGGAATGGGCTTTGCAGATCAGCATGCTCTTAACATGGAGAGGAACATCCACTAAAATACCTGTGTTCAACCCCTACACCGATTAACTCCATCCGTGCATCCAGTTTGACATGCTGTTTTCCGCAGACGAACTAAGGGTGTGGCTGTTCGCCAATGCAGAGGCGGACAACCAAGTATTTTAGATTTTCATCAATCCCCTGTAGAGAGGAAAGCTACGATTTTGGGGGGCATGCCAACAAATTATCACAGGTATCACTCGATGTGTCTCCAAGTTAGAAGTCCGCTCTTAAATATGTACCAGTTTGAAAGTCTTTCTTGAGACCTTGGACTCGTGGTGTGGTTGAATCTGAGAACCAAGGATTCTAGCAAGGACTCCTTTCAGACTGATCTACGCTTGTCTTGCACCGGATGTCGTAGTTATTAGGACTATCCATACCGACGGTAAGAATACGACTACTCAGCATAGCCACACCATCCTTAGAATACCGAGCTTATGCAGAACCTCCCTCTTGACTAGAGTGAAATACGTGAATTCTTCTTCGAAGGACAGTCTCGTACGTTAAATTGATTGCCACGATCCGATCGAATGGAAATTCCAGTGCTTCAGTGTGTCCCAATAGTAGTCAAGAAAGTGAACCGAGGGCGACCGACTCCACATTTCCCGGTGTCATGCTTGGCAACACTTTACACAGGACATGCGACTATTCAGCTATATGTTCCAAAACGAAACCAATTGTTGATGGGAATAATGCGCACCAGAGTTGAGCAGAGTAGTAAAGCTTTATTGGGAAGCTATGTATCTCCCTTTGGCCAGCGAAAGGGTCGACTATCGTACTGTTGCGTCTCAGTGCTGTGCAGTCAGTGCTGTTAACTACACTAGCTCAACAGGGTATGCCCTATATTCACACGCTTCTGGGTGGATGAGAGTGTATGATGAGCTCTCCAAAAGCTTCCCTACAAAAAGTGGTGTCAGACAAGGATGTCCACTCCATTCTTGTTCCACTTCGTCATTGATGAAATAATGAGGCGAACACTGGACGGTCTTCAAAACCCCGGTGTTCAAAGTGTTGCTGGTGAGAGCTTTATTGATTTGGAGTGCGCAAATGACATCGTCCTCATCTTTGAAGACCAAAGCGAAGCATAAGCCCTGTTGAATAAACTGACCATCAACATACCATCTTTTGGCATACGTCTTGCACCTTTGAAGTGCAAAGTCATGCTTCAGAACGTATCGCCTGCAAAAATATCCCTTAAAGTCCAACGAGATTCACTGGAGACTGTGGAAAACTTAACACCTCTCGGTAGTTATATTAGCTCTGACGGAAGTGTGTCTGATGATGTCAGTACAAGAATCTCAAAGGCCCGGATCGCGTTTGCTAATCTGCATCACTCGTGGCGTCAAAAAGGCATCTCATCAGGTCTTAAGGGTCATGTGTACCAGGCTCCAGTAGGGGTTGTGTTTTTGTATGGGTGCGAGACATAGCCTCTGCGGACACATGATGTAAGGCGTCTTTAGGTTTCCGATCACCGATGCTTCATAAGCGTGGCGGGTTTTGGATGGCGTCAGCATGTTAGTAAGGAGATGATTAGAAAACGGGTATTTGTTTGTACTACAGGTACTTCAATCCGGGAAAACATCCAGCACCACCGACGACGATGGCTCGGTCATGTACGCATGCCGAAACACCGTCTACCGAGACGGGTGTTCTTGTACCTCCTGGATTGCGCAAACCGGGAGGTGGACAGTACATGACTTGGCAGAAAGGCGTGAAAAAGATCACGAAGAGTTTGGGTGTTGGTGTTGTACGATTTCCAGGATGAAGTCCCCGTGTACCCGCCCGTGCTTGGCTGGAGACGTTGCAAGAAATGGCGGCTAATTGATTTCAGTGACATACGTGCTGTCATCTTCCTTCCAGATAGTCTACTTGGGCGGTTGGAG